GGTCGGCTCCCTCCCCCCCAAGTGCCGCGTGCCCAGGGCCGGCGCTCCTCCCCCTCCCCAAGCGCTGCGCACCCGGCGCTGGCGCCCCCCCCAAGCGCCGCACGCCCAGAGCGCGGGCAGCCAATCTGCGGCGCTCCCGGGGCCGGCGCTCCCCGTGAGCCATGCGCCCGGGGCTGGCTCTGGCACCACGCATGCGCCACGTGCCCGGGGCCAGACCAGCCCTGAGCACTTGGCGGGCGCACACAAATGCCCGTGTTGGGATGTGAATAGCGTGAAGAGAGTGAATAAGGCAATGTTTACCCTTTCACATAACACAAGGACCAGGGATTGAAACAAATTAGGTCGCAGGTTTAAAACAAACAAAAGGAAGTACTTCACACAGTGTGCAGTCAACCTGTGGAACTCATTGCCAAGGGATGTTATGAAGACCAAAACTATAATGGGTGTAAAAATATTAAGTTCACAGGAGATAGGTCCATCAATGTTAGTCAAGATGATCAGGGATGCAGACCTATACTCTGGGAGTCCCTAGCCTCTGATTAGTGGCTGATTGCCTGTTCTGTTCATTCCCTCTGAAGCACCTGGCATTGGTTATGGTTGGAAGACAGACTACTGGACAAGGTGGATGATTGGTCTGACCCAGTATGGCTATTCGTATGTTCTTATAGCTACAGCACATAAGGCAAAATTAGAGAACAGTGTCAGGTGAGCAGGGAAGTGAAAAGCTGCCAGACTAGTGCTCCCTATTGGCCTATATTGGGGTCTTGCTTTTGTATTTATCAGTGGATATGTGTGTCTCAATCTTTGCATCACTGTCAGCTAATGCAATGGAATGGAATTGTAATGATGTTATATTAGTAGGGTTGGTAAAAGTTAACTTTATTTTATTGGTAAACGTTGGTAATACAGGCAGTCCCCGGGTTACGTACAAGATAGGGACTGTAGGTTTGTTCTTAAGTTGAATCTGTATGTAAGTCGGAACTGGCGTCCAGATTCAGCCGCTGCTGAAACTGATCAGTTTCAACAGTTGCTGAATCTGGACGCCAGCTCTGACTTACATACAGATTCAACTTAAGAACAAACCTACAGTCCCTATCTTGTACGTAACCCGGGGACTGCCTGTATTACACAGTCTGCTTTGGTCTAAATTGCCTTGAGCAGTTTAGTATCGTCTGCAAATGTTGCCACCTCAGTGTTTACCCCTTTCTCCAGATTATTTATGAATAGGTTGAATAGGATTGGTCCTAGGACTTACCCTTGGGAACACCACTAGTTACCCCTCTCCATTCTGAAAATTTACCATTTTTTCCTACCCTTTGTTTCCTGTCTTTTAATCAGTTCTCAGTCCACGAAAGGCTCTTCCCTCTTATCCCATGACAACTTAATTTACGTAAGAGCCTTTGGTGAGGGACCTTGTTAAAACTTTCTGGAAATCTAAGTATACTATATCTACTGGATCCCCCTTGTCCACATGTTTATTGACCCCTTCAGAGAACTCTAATAGATTAGTAAGACAAGATTTCCCTTTACAGAAACCATGCTGACTTTTGCCCAACAAATTATGTTCTTGTATGTGCCTGGTCTGGCCTGCCCGCTGCCCGCGTGTTCCGCCGCTTTGCTCCCCGTCCCCCTGGTCTGCTGGAGACCAGGGAGAGGGCCCCGTTCATAAGTGTGGATCCGACATAAGTCGGATCCGCGTAACTCGGGGACTACCTGTAGTTAACTTTACTGTACACATGCAAACAGAAAAATATTTCCATTGATAACTGAAAAGTACAGATAAACAGCATTTTTTCATACTTTGGCTAAGAACTTCTTAAAGTTGGTGTAAAAAGATTTACTTTGTATATTTTGATATGAGATGTTGACAATTTGTGTTTCAGCAATTTTATAAAGGTTGAACTTTTTGAATGCCAAAGTCTACTGTTGTTAAATAATTGTCTGTCTCCTCATAATTTCCCTCAACTCTGAAAATTTTGATAGGTTAAAAAAAAGGGGGGGGTTCACCTCCTAACTTTGTGCAACTGGAAAAATTTTATTTGAAAAAATCTAAAAATAAAATAAACATCTATTATCTGTTGAAATTGTAACAAAATATATAAATCTAATTCTTTCAAGACTACTATTTAGTACCTAGTTGGTTGGATCTATTTTTGGCATCTGATGGAGCCAAGTAAAGTGAAATTTTCTCATTTCTAATATGTAGCCTTAGCAAAGTACAGAAGCAATTTTTGGTTTTCAATCCTCTGTAAACTTTTGGATAACAATAAACCAGCCTGATAATGTTCCATCTTGTTTGTTTCTATACAGATGTGTACACACAGAGCTATTATACTAAATGGTTACATAATTATTTAAATGTTTTCCTTTGTCCTGTTTTTTTGTCTTGTGCCTTTTATATCAGTTTGAGCCAAATTCATGTATCTTCTTTGTGTTTGTAAATTGCTATGTACATTTGCTCCATTATATGATTTTTTTTGTAATAACCATGTGAATAACTACATACATTTGTGGATTTAAAATAATTGGATTGTCCATTTAAAGGTATCTCATAGGATCCAAAAAGAACTTTAAATATATTTCATGTACAAATTGAAGAAACAATGTGATAGTCAACTATTAAGAATATACTATATACATTACAAGATTTCAAACAGTTATATGAACACAGTATATACTTTTGTTATTGTACTGTTGTCTATACTGTTTGAATACACACACACACACACACATATATACATTGCTTTAAACTACTTTTTTCCTTTGATGAAAGATAAGTCAAAGTAGAAAATCAGAAAAACAATATAATTTTAACCCATATATATATACATAAATATGTAGTGTATAAGAAGCCCGTTCCAAAACTTGAAACATACTCCCAGGTAATAAAGTCCCTTATACAATGTATCTGCATATCTACAACTGTCTTCATGTGCTGTACAACTGTGTTCATCTACTGTCGCTGACAATCTGGTTGTTGGATCATGTAATTTGGGGAGAATTAGAATTTTGTTACTGCTGGCATCTGTGGGAAAGAAACAAAGAAATATCACTTCTAGGTGAAGACGTTGTTATATATATACAGCAGGATTTTCCAATCTAACAACAGGCATGCGAAGATGGGGGTTTAACATTTCTAGTCTCAATCATACTAGCCTTAATGGCAATTCTGTGGCCACTATTCTGGGAAGATTTCCCTCTCATTCCCTTATAGACCACCTTCCCTGATACCGACCCTCCAACCACAATTACAATCCTACACCAGGCTGTCAAATCCAGCAGACACATGACATTGGGGTAAGCGAGAATGATACCATGCAGAAGAAGAGGAGCTCACTAACCACATCTTCTCTGGTTGTTTGGAGCTCAGACCAGACAAAAATTAAAGGGCAGGCTGTTTCAAGTTGCACCTGTCTGGATCTGGGCCTGGACATGTAGCTGTCAGCCAAGTTGGAGCAAAAAGTTTGATCTCTATCCCCTCCCAATGTAGGCTCCATCTTCAGGGTTGTAGGACTCTTGAGAGGAGTGTGTGGTGAGGAGGGCATGGGGACAGAGCCAGCACTGATAGGCAGAGCTTATTACTTCAGCTGACCTCCTCCTGTCTTCTCAATGTGGAATTGCATCCACTCATTGCCAGACCAAGGTTACTATGGATCATTTGTTTTGGTTGGGCTATAAACCTCCCACTAGGGCTGTGGTTTGCCAAAAATAAAGTGCCAGCTACAAATCAGTGAAACAGTTAAAACAAACTGAATAGCCCATGGGGATGGAGCCATTGACCCAGATTTTTTTTTTTTTAATGTCTGGGCAAGGGGGTCTGTATTTAGAAATTATCATCTGTTGGTAGCTCATGGGAAGCAATTTGGTCAGCTCAGTCTGAGGTAGTGCTGAAGAGCCAGCACAGGCACCTTTTGAGATTAGTGAGTCAATTGTGCATTGGCTTGGAGTCTGGGCTAAACTCACAGGCTCTGTCTAAACTGGCAAGTTTTTCTGCAAAATCAGCCGCTTTTCCGAAAAAACTTGCCAGCTGTCTACACTGGCCGCTTGAATTTCCACAAAAGCACTGACTTTCTACTGTAAGAAATCAGTGCTTCTTACAGAAATACAGGCAGTCCCCGGGTTACGTACAAGATAGGGACTGTAGGTTTGTTCTTAAGTTGAATCTGTATGTAAGTCAGAACTGGCGTCAGCCACTGCTGAAACTGATCAGTTTCAACCGCGGCGGAATCTGGATGCCAGTTCTGACTTACATACGGATTCAACTTAAGAAACCCAGGCGTCCCCAAGTCAGCTGCTGCTGAAACTGATCAGTGGCTGATTCCAGGAAGCCTGGGGCAGAGCAACTCTGCCTTGGGCTTCCTGTAGTCAGCCACTGGTCAGTTTCAGCAGTGGCTGAATCTGGAAGCCAGTTCCAACTTACATACAAATTCAGCTTAAGAACAAACCTACAGTCCCTATCTTGTACGTAACCCAGGGACTGCCTGTACATG